GGCGGATCCCCCGTGCACGACAGTAGTCCCGCAGAAGGCGAGAAGAGAACTCTCCGCCTCTGTCCGAGTGCAGACGCAGAACAGGAAAGTCCGAGCCGAAGCTCTTCCTGAGCTGGAGACGAGCCTCGCGGATCCAGTCGATCAGCACCTCAGTGACCGCACCCTTGCTGCGCAAGGGGAGGACTGTGGTGTAACGCGAGTAGTCGTCAACCACCAACAGGAAGTAGCGCTCGTAACCCTGCCCACGGACGGGGGCTGGGCCCCACACATCCATGTGAAGCGTCTGCAGGGGAGCCTCTGTCGGGGGGAAGTGGGAGGAGTGAGGAGTAGCCCGGAGGCGACCCTCGACACAGGGGACACAGGAAGGTCCTGGCCCGGAGGGGAGAGGAGGGAGAGACTGGGGAAGACCAGAGACAAGGACACGGGAAGCCATGCTCCGAAGACGGGGCAAGGAGGGGTGGCCAAGACGGTGGTGCCACAGGAGAGTCTCGTGAGACAGGAGGCGACAAGAACAGGGGGCAGACTCAGGACCTGACCGGGACGCAGCAGCAAGCACCTGACCCGACGCAGCCACCTGACCAGACGCAGGGACAGGAGGAGACTCAACGGTCAGGGTGTAGAGACTCGACCCCGGCCGACGCGAGAACGTGGCCAGGTGTCGGCCTGTGCGTGCCTCCGTGCAGTGGGTCACCCGCTGACTCGCAGGAGTGAACTGGTGAACCCCCACATCCTGCAGGTCCGCTCCACTCACCAAGTTCGTAGAGAACGAGGGAAGGTACAGACCCGACAGGGTGCCCAAAGGGGCAGCCGGACACGGGAGGACAGTGGAGAAGTGAGACAGGACAAGACCCCCAGAGGGGTCAGCAAGGGAGACCGCAACCGGCCGGCCGAGCGGCGTAAGGGTAGTGCGGTCTCGAAAGAAGGAGCGAGAAGCTCCGGAGTCAAGTGTGAAAGTGAGGGAGGACGAGGACGACGCAGTACCTGAGAGCGCAGTCTCACCAGTACCTGAGAGCACAGACGCACTGGCACCTAGAGCAGCAGCCTCACAAGCACCTAGCGCAGCAGTACCAATGCCCGGGTCGGGCTGGAAACACCGGTAACCCTCATTCTCCTCACTATAATCCACAACATACATAGCAGCAAGGATAGCATCAAAATCAAGATCAAAGATCGCTACACCAGCCCTTAGAAGCTCATCCCAGCGAGGGATCTCACTAGCCCCAGGGAACTGCTGACGCCAAGCGTCCGTCAGGCGGCCAAAGCAGCGCTGGGTGGCGTGGGCACCCCCACACTGCTCACCTGCGCGGTCGCCGGAACGAAGAACGTAGGTGCAGGGACCAGTACCCCCACCCCTCTGACGCCCAGCGTACCACTCACGAAGCTGCTGAGGCGGAGGGATGTCCCGCGAGCGCTGCTGCTGCTGCCGCTGCGAGCGCTGGCCACCACCACCGCCGCTACGCTGCTGGGTACCACCTCGACCAGCTCCACCTCCTCCACCACCACCGCCTCCTCCGCTGCCGCCTCCACCGCCTCCACCTCCGCCGCCTCCACCTCCGCCGCTGCCTCCACCACCACCGCTGGCACCACCACCACCGTCTCCGCCGCTGCTGCCACCACCACCACCACCCCCGCCACTAGTCCCGCCGCCACCCCCACTCCCTCCGCCGCCACCGCCGCCACCGCCACCGCCCCCTCCAGCTCCACCCGCGCCCTTGCCCCCCTTGCCCTTGCTGGAGCGACGTCTCCCACTAGGGGCAGACGCCGCGCTGACCGACTCAAGACCAAGCAGGTCGGCAGCAGCAGCAGAGGCAACAGAGGGCAGCAAGGGGGAAGGAGAGCACCCCTCAAAGATGGGGGTGCGAGGGTCACCACGAGAAGCACCTACAGCGACTATGCTCTTCTCCGCTGCGAGGAGGGCCTTCTCGAGGAGGTCGACGTGCAGCAAGACGTGCAGCAGCATCGCGGGTGGCCCACTTAGAGCGGACAGTGGGATCAGCATCAGCAGCAGGAGCAGGAGAGGCGCCAGAGGTGAGGTCAAAGAGAGAAAGGTCGTCAGCCCTGTCGCACTGTAAGAACAGCTGCAGGTCGTCTAACCAGACCTCAAAATCAATGGCGCGACCCTCAGCGTCAAAAGCTAGGACACTAGGGGTAGCCATGGCGACGACAACGACGCAGTGCAAGCAGTATGGAAAGAGCTCGCAGTGTCAGTGGGACTGTGCTCACCAGGCAGGGCAGGTCGTGCAGCTATGCAGAAAGGCGGTTCAGCGATCGGGCGGCTCGGGTGCACAGCGGCTCGGCTCCCGGGCGGCTCGGCGGCTGGGCGGCTCGGGCGCAGGGCGGCTCGGCTCCCGGGCGGCTCGGTGGCAGGGCGGCTCGGGTGCAGGGCGGCTCGGCTCCCGGGCGGCTCGGCAGCAGGGCGGCTCGGGTCCCGGGCGGCTCGGCGTTGGGCGGCTCGGCTCCCGGGGGGGTTCGGCTGCTGGGGCGGCTCTGCTGCTGGGGCGGCTCGGCCGGGAGATGCAGGGGCGGGGCCGTCAGGTGAATCGGCGGGCCGCTGGGTGCAGCGGCGGGCCGGCAGGTGCAGCGGCGGGCCGGCAGGTGCAGCGGCGGGCCGGCAGGTGCAGCGGCGGGCCGGCAGGTGCAGCGGCGGGGCCGTCAGGTGAGGCGGCGGGCCGTAGGGTGCAGCGGCGGGCCGTAGGGTGCAGCGGCGGAGCCGGCGGTGGGGCCGCTTCAGGGGAGGCGGCGGGGCCGCGTCAAGCAGGCGGCGGGGCCGCGACGAAGCGGGCGGCAGGGCCGCGACAGGAGGGGTGGCGGGGCCGCGTCTGAGGGACAGCGGGGCCGCGAGGGAAATGGCGATCCGAGGGGTCGCTAAAAAAAAAGGGCGCGCCTCGGGGCGCGCTTCGGTGGGCCCTAAAAAAACGGTCCTAAGGAAGGACCCGCTCTATACCATGTGAAACAAGTGAACAGGAATGAAAATGACTAAGTCAGAGTTGGGTACAAATACAACCCTAGAAAGCTGTACCCCATATGTGCTACCCCACTATGGCCTACAAACATGCATCAGCTATAATACTCTGATAGTCGTTGAGGTACTAGTAGTAGGTACTCGTTTGTGCATGTCCGCTGTGTGCACCATTGAGAATGTCCGCTGGGAGCTGAAAACTTTGCACCACTGTGCATGTTGGGATAAATTCCGCGTAACAGAAGGTCGTCATTGGTTGGAGGTGTACACATCAGCAAGGCTGCATGCTTACGCCGTAAAAAAAGATTTTGGCTGTTTGGAAATGCTGACTGGGAGTGTGGGGCTGCTCGGGGCGGGATTACTGTACTAGCTCTAGCATTTTTTGGTCCTTGCTTCTTCGCCAGGAGTCAGACCAAGTCGTCAGTACACCTAACCACCGCTATTTTCAGCTCCGAACCATTCACTGTTCTTGCGTTTTGAAGATACCCTGCACGCATTCGACTATTTCAGTTGGGCACTTGGGGAAACTGGACTACGAAGCACCCCGATTTCTAAAGTTAAGAAACGCATGAAAGCAAATCTGAAAAGGGGCACTTATGCTGTCGCGGACCCTTGTGCCACTTCTACTCTTTTTGGGGGTCTGGAACCAACTAACTGTGAAATCAGTGTGAAATTTCTGGCGCCCACACAGCCCTCGGTCAAAGATTCAAGAAAGGGTGCATACCCACTTGCGCAAGTGGAGTTGAAAATAGACGGAAAGAAAATAGCGGTGGTTGGGTGTACAGAGTCTGTAGCTCAACTCGGAGCCTGGTAGCGCAAGGCCGCTACCAAGTGCAAAACGACGCTACCAGTTGAAGAGGAAGGGTACCTCCAAATAAGTCGGACCATACTCGTTACGGAGCTGGCAATCTATTTCACGTGGCCCATGATACAGTATACGCGTTGCCTGGTTGGGACTCGTGGCATTTCAAGGACTCCTGCCACCAATGCGCACTTAGGCATGAATGCACAGGCAATTGCACATCCGATAGACGCACAGAGTCATGTGCTGTTACGGTTTTATTTCATATGAAAACGGGCAGTCGATGATACCCCATGGTTCGGTATATTCTTCGCCGGTATCGCCAGTGTGCCGTCGCACAATGGTTGTGTCGAATTAAAGTTTATCAGCTCTCGTCGTGGCAATCCGTGATGAGTCGTCAAAGCTCGCCTTTTTGGTCTTCATAGTAACCATGTGCACTTGAACCAAACAACAAATGCCCTTCACTCGGCAAAAAAAACAAAAATTAAAAGTTGTTCTACGCGTCGTTATTGTCCTTTGTTGCCACTACCAAGGTTTGACGAGTTTCTGGCTCGTTTCAGTAGCTCCCAAAAAAACATTTGTGTGTGCGTGAACCAGACATCAGCTATAATGCCTTATTTTTAGGACGAATCCGAGGGTGCAAGGTATACACATGATGCCCGACCAGTGCACGCGAAATTGCCATGCACCGGATAGAAACGCTGCACCCGAGCTGGAAATCCCTGCTTGCTGCTCCCACAGTAAAAGCACATGGGTGGCTGGCAACAGTACACGCAACTCGGCCATCAATGCACGTTCATTCACGAACAAGCCACGCCAACCCACATTTCCTTTGTTTCTAGGCCAGGAGTCAGGGAGGCGAAATGAATGGACGAAACGACTATGGTTTCGTGAACGCATTCGCCCATCTGGGCCGCCACCTGAGCAAGGATCATCGTGCGTGTAACAGGCAGTTGGTCAGATTAACCCTGCCACGTGTATATCGGGACCTGCAAGGTACAAGCGCATTACCAGCCAGGCGTTGTTCGCCCGACCCACGTCAGACATTCGAGGGTGTGGTTACCAAACCAGTTGCTAGAAAATGCAAGCCAGGTGCATGGAACGAACACCAACCACACAAATGTGACATCCAACAAAGAACAGGCCCCAGCCTTGCCCAGCACGCCCGACCTGTGATGATAAAATGTGTGCAACTAATTCACTAAGTCACCACTGTCTCTCACACCCCAGTCGCTCACAATGCCCCGCTTTAACCGACGGGAGCAGCTCCCGCTGCATATCAAGCGCGCTATTTGCGTGCACCACGTAGACAACCCCCGCCTGCGTCATGTCGACCTGGCGAGGTGGTGTTACTCGCAGTACGGATTGCGCCCAGATCGTTCCACTGTCGGCCGCATCTTGAAGAGCGCCGAGCTATGGGATGTCACGGCAGGTGGCGACAACCAAATGCGCCGTCGAGGTGGCGCATGGCCTGAGCTAGAGCAGGCCATGGCGCGGTGGATCGCAAACGCAGGGCCCGCTGGCGTGCCTCTGACGCTGCAGACCATCCGCGACCATGTCGAGACGATGGCACGGAACATGGGCATTCCGCCCACATTCCGATACTCCATAGGCTGGGTGCGCCGTGCTTTGAGGCGCCAGGGAGTGAGGTGACGGGCAGCACAAGGCGAGGCAGCTAGTGCGGACATGGCCGCCATGCGCCACGCACGTGAGAAGCTGCCGCAACTCCTCACGCATCTCGGTGTCACCCCGCGGGACACGTTCAACATCGATGAGACGGCGCTCTGGCTGTCAGTCCTCCCTCGGCGCACTTACAGCAACGGTCAAAATCCTGGCCGCAAAATTTCGAAGGAGCGGCTCACCGTGGCATTCCTCGTCAATGCTGACGGGAGCCACGTCTTCCGACCGGTCGTTATCAGTAAGGCTAAGCGGCCGCACGACTTCCGCCCGGATTATGACCCGGAGTCCCTTTGCTACTGGCGGCACAACTCCAAAGGCCGGATGACCTCGCCGGTAAGGTCGTCGTGGTTCACGTTTAAACGCGTCCTTGATGCTTCGCACGTATTACGCGTAATAGCACACCTAACTGTAATGTGTTAATGATTTCAAAATTCACATGTACATTCCGCCTTCCCTCCCATTCCCCTACATGCAGTTATTCACGCATTTCATATCGCAGCTCAATGCTGCGATGTACGCCGAAGGTCGCAAGATTTTGGTGCTGCTTGACAACGCGAGCAGCCACATGCTCCGCTCACAGCTCGCATGGAGCGAGATCGTCTGCGGGATGCGGACGACCTGCATGAGCGACGTGCGGCTCGTTTTCTTGCCGCCGAATACCACCGCATTCACACAGCCGCTCGATCAGGGCATCATAGCCACCGTAAAAGCCCGCCGACAGCATTGGCTGCGGGCCTTCTCGGCTTTGTGGAACGGCGAGGGCGCGACTACCGCCGTCGCCCGTTTCCGCCCCAACTTGCGCGATGTCCTCGCGTGGCTGTCGGACGCGTGGATGTCTGTCGGCGAGCGCACCATTCAACGGTGCTGGTGGCGCATGGGGTGTCTGCCGCTGTCATGGTCCCTAGAGCTGTCGCATGTACACGACGATGAGCCCACCCCTGCCGTCTACCCCGACATCGAGCTTGACGACGACATCGACGATGTCGGGACTCTCATCAGCGGACTCGCACTCAGGAATGCGGCGATGACGGCCGCAGAGTACGTCGCCATCGACGACGGCGAGCCGACGAGCGCCGAGGGCGCTGCGGGACAGCCTGCGAATGAGCCAGAGTCGGGCGTAGACGCCGAGCTCTGGCAGGCGCCGACTACCATTCCCGCCGTCTACGACGACGCCGACCCCGTGTGCCGCGAAGCGCGGCGCACTGCCCGGGCGGCATGCGAGATGCTTATAGGATATGCACGGGCCACCCGCATCACGCCGCGCGATCTGTGCCATGTATTCGATATACGCAACCCCATTATAATCGCGCGGATGGAGCGGGCGAGCCCGACGTTCAACCTCAACGTGGCGCCTCAGCCCGTACCCTCCCCGGGCGCAACTCCCACGCCCGAGACCCCTCGTCCGCGCGGCCGTGTGCTGCCCGACTGGATGACCCGCCCGTCTCGCCGTCAGGAGCTGCTTGACGCCGGTGTGGGCGCCGTGATGGACGGGTATGTGGACGCGGCTGCGTGGATGCGTCTGTGAGGGTGGGGGTGGAGCAGACTTCGCAAGGTGTCGAATGCATTTTGATGAGAGCCCAAGTGTTCACTCCTTGTGCACATTTGTGGGTGTTTCGTTTTGTGTGTTGAATGGAGATGAGCTCCCAGGTGGAGGATGTTGATTGGAAGGTGTTTATGTTTTACCTGTTTTGTACTACGAAGAACAATTGTTGTGCATGCTTGTTTCGGTACTGTAGCGTTCGTTTAGTAACCCTAAACACACAACATGGACAAGTGCTGCAACCCCTTACTGTTGCTTATCAGACAAATAGGGTGGTTACCATGATCAGTTTTGAAGCACGCTGGACGCCTGACGAAATTCACGAATGCCCGCGAAATGCAGGTTTAGCTTACAGTCCCAGTTCACAAGGCGACCGGGAGGGGCTCTAACGAGCATCAGGTGTACACACGGAATTCAGAAGTCCAGTCAGCGCTGGCGAAGGAGGAAACCTGTACGCAATCATCGAACATCTCTTCCACCCTGGACTGCTGTTGGAAGATACGAAGCGCAACTGTATCTGTAACTGTAGCATCTTGCCACAAAAAAAAATCAACACCTAGCGCAATTTATCACACGTATGGCCATCATGAAGATGTAGAGGAATGGTGACAAGTGTTTTACAGGAAGTTGATATGCCGTATTTAGTGTATATGCCCAATACAGAGCTCTTAGTTCAGAGCACAGATATGTAAAGCCTGAAAAATCAGACCCTTGTTGGAAGAAAAGGCTGAAGTCCCTGAGGCACCAATAAGGGGGGGAAGGAAAGGGCTGAAAGTTCAGCCCCGATACAGACAAGTAGTCTGAAAATCAGCCAAATCAGCCTTTTTACACTGATATTTGAGGGCCAGCTTTGAACTTCAAACAACCATTACAAGTTGTAAGTGCCCAAAATTACGTGAAGTGTGTACTCCCCATCAATCCCTCCATTCAATGTTCTAGGCTGCCACCATATTCCCTCCCATACTACGATAGTGGCCTTGCCGTCTCACCTCAAACAATAACTAGAGAACCCCTTTCTGAACCAAGACACTTGGCATACCGACCAGCCAAAATACACTCGGACGATACTATTACGGTATAGCGTACATGTAATGCATCAAATACCTACAGTAGCACAGTAATTTCCGTGCATGCCTTCCCATGCTCACCAAGGCACGTTCATTCATGCGTTCAAGCCTGTCTGTCCATGCATTCAGAGCACAGCTTGAAGCACACAGTGATGATGTGTCTGCTCACCTAATGCTTGTCCATGAATTAGAGCTCGCTTCAGTGCAGCGGCTGTGCTGCCTGCTTGGCCCGAGCAGACGTGCACTTAGCCATGGTCACCGAAGCCCGTGAAATGGCATCTGTCATGTAGAAATTGGGCACCTGGAAGCGAACACAAGGGGGGTTGAGAGCGGTAGAGAGGGGATGAGAGATGTTGAGAGGGGTCGAGAGGGGTTGACAGACAGGGAGTACTGAGCAGACGTGCACTTAGCCATGGCCACTGATGCCCGTGAAATGGCATCCGTCATGTAGCAATTGGGCACATGGGAGCAAATAATGTAATGTGGGGTTGAGAGGGGGTTAGTGCAGAAGACAGGGAAAGAGGGGTTGAGAAAATGAGACAAAGACGAGGGAAAGCAGGGGGGAGAGGGGTTGAGAGGTGTTGAGTGGGGTTGAGAGAGATGGAGTTGAGTACTACAAGGTAGAATGGAAGTTGCATTAAGGCAAAACAGAAGAGAAGCACCGTGTTGGGCGACGGCTCCTTTGAGTTTTGGCCCAGCACGACTCCTTTGAGTTTTGGCCCAGCACGAGTCCTTTGAGTTTTGGCCCAGCACGACTCCTTTGAGTTTTGGCCCAGCACGACTCCTTTGAGTTTTGGCCCAGCACGACTCCTTTGAGTTTTGGCCCAGCACGACTCCTTTGAGTTTTGGCCCAGCACGACTCCTTTGAGTTTTGGCCCAGCACGAGTCCTTAGAGTTTTGGCCCAGCACGACTCCTTTGAGTTTTGGCCCAGCACAACTCCTTTGAGTTTTGGCCCAGCACGACTCCTTAGAGTTTTGGCCCAGCACGACTCCTTTGAGTTTTGGCCCAGCACGACTCCTTTGAGTTTTGGCCCAGCACGAGTCCTTTCAGTTTTGGCCCAGCACGAGTCCTTTTAGTTTTGGCCCAGCACGAGTCCTTTCAGTTTTGGCCCAGCACGAGTCACGGTTGAGACAAAACAGGACGTGGCTTGGGAATCGACTCAATGGCCAACGCGAAACACAACGTGGTGACTTGCTGGCAGGGATACAAAAAGAGAGTCAGAGCAGCAGTGTCTAACACAAGAGCAGCAGTGTCCAACGCGAGAGCAGCAGTGTTTAACACGAGAGCAGCAGTGTCTAACGCGAGAGCAGCAGTGTCTAACACGAGAGCAGCAGTGTCTAACGCGAGAGCAGCAGTGTCTAACGCGAGAGCAGCAGTGTCTAACACGAGAGCTGCAGTGTCTAACACGAGAGCAGAGCAGCAGTGTCTAACGCGAGAGCAGCAGTGTCTAACGCGAGAGCAGCAGTGTCTAACGCGAGAGCAGCATCTTGTACACAGTGCACCATTGCTTGCTTGCTGCGGGCAACGGAGCTCCTACCTTGTTGATCCGCCGACTTCAGAGTCAACCCAAAACAAGGCACCAACGACTTATGAGGCAACGACTCAAAACTCACCGGCAGCTCAAAGGGGTCTGCGAGGGCAGCACCAGGCGTGTCGTTCACCCCTGCATGGGCGCTGAGTGTGAGAGGCAGCTCCACCTCGTCAATGCGCGCCAGATGGGGGCCCACCTGATGGGGGAGCGCGAGAGGGGACGGGGTGGCGTGGTGCTGTGAGTGTTCAAGTGCTCAGGGTGAGTGCTTGAGTGTTCAAGTGCTCAGGGTGAGTGCTTGAGTGTTCAAGTGCTCAGGGTGAGTGCTTGAGTGTTCAAGTGCTCAGGGTGAGTGCTTGAGTGTTCAAGTGCTCAGGGTGAGTGCTTGAGTGTTCAGGTGCTCAGGGTGAGTGCTTGAGTGTTCAAGTGCTCAGGGTGAGTGCTTGAGTGTTCAAGTGCTCAGGGTGAGTGCTTGAGTGTTCAAGTGCTCAGGGTGAGTGCTTGAGTGTTCAAGTGCTCAGGGTGAGTGCTTGAGTGTTGAGCGTGAAAGGCGGCTCCACCTCGTCGGTTCGCGCCAGGTGGGGGGCCACCTGATGATGGGGGAGGGGGGAGGAGGGGCGTGGGGCGTGCTGTGGTGAGCGGGGAGAAGAGATCTTGAGAGCTCACTTGCTCCACCTTGTCATGGGGTAGCGCCACGCCTGCCACTTCACACACACACACAGCCCACACGAATGATCTTCCAGTCGCCCCTCGCAGCTCAAACGCACCTCATTTGTTCCCCTCACTTGTTCCCCTCACTTGTTCGCCTCACTGGTTCGCCTCACTGGTTCGCCCCTCCCTACCACCACCCCCAGTTCACCTCTCGCAAACTCTCTCTGACTTGCTTCACGGTATCATAGGGCGGAGCCACGCCTGCCACTTGAAGCATTCTAATACCTCCTTGTCAGACTGCCTGCCTCGCTACTCTCCTCTCCCCCCCCGTACCTCGCGCAGGCGCTCTCTGACTTGCTCCACGGTGTCGTATGGCAGAGCCACGCCCGCCACTTCAGAGACGGCCCGGATGATCTTCCAGTCGTCCCTCGCACTCCCCACTGTCGGCACCGCTGCCCGTGTCATCTGCACCCGCCCCTCCGTGTTCACATACGTGGCTTCCTGTCATGGGGGGAGGGGGTAGGGTGCGGATTACCAAGAAGAACGAGAAGAGCAGGAGAGGAGCAGAGAGCAGGAGAGAAAGGGCTGTGGGGAGCAGGAACGCACAAGTTGCAAAGAACGGGTGAGAGGAGAGCAAGTTGCAAAGTCTAAAGGGATGGCCGCCTCTACCACACCGCCTCTGTCACATCACATCGTCCGCTCCCAACAAATTCACCAACTCAAAAGCCACTTTCTCGACGTGCAGTGCGCAGTGCCCAATCTAGGCGTGAACCAACTATAAACTCAGCACTTACGGGGCCCCCCTGGCGCTCTCACCTTCTCAGTGTAAGTAGCTCCCGGCAGCACAATAGCGGCCCGGCTAGCCCCGCGGTCCCCGTGGTGGCCCTGGTAGATCACACACGCGCCTGAGGGGACCCCTGCCTCCGCAACACCACAGAGGCGACTCAAGTCTCACCTTCTCAGTGTAAGCAGCGCCCGGCAGCACAATATCGGCCCGGCTGGCCCCGCGGTCCCCGTGGTGGCCCTGGTAAATCACAACTGCACCCGAGGGAATGTCTGCCTCTGCCACGTCGTCTGCCCCCAGCAGATACACCACCTTGGGGGGCGTGCTGCGGGGGGGAAGGGAGAAAACAGGGGGGATTGGCGGGGCAAGACCACACACGCGGCTCAAGGAATGTCCGCCCCTGCCACGTCCGTCTGCCCCCAGCAGATACACCACCTTGGGGGGCGTGCTGCGGGGGGGAAGGGTGGGGGAAGAGTGGGAGAGCGGCGGATGGGGTAAGGAGGGGTGGAGGTGGGCAGAAGGAGTGGGGACGGATAAGGGTTGCTGGAATGTGCGTCATCTGCTCCCAGCAGATACACCACCTGTATTCGAGTGACCTGTACACCACCTGTATTCGAGTGACTTTTGAGAATTCTCAAAAGTGCACCACCTGGGAGGCGTGCTGGACCGGGCGAGTAGAGGGTGGGGGAAAGAGAAGGGGGAAAGGACGGTGGGGTGGATGGGGAAAGGAGGAGGGAAGATGGGAGGAAGATGGGGAACAGATCAGGGGCCGCCACTGCCAAGTCGCCTGCTCCCAGCAGTTGCACCACACCACCTGGGTGATGATAAAAGTGTTTTAAGACGTCTCAAAACACTTCTATTACCACGAGGAGGGGAAATGGGAGGAAGATGGGGAACAGATTAGGGGCCGCCACTGCCAAGTCGCCTGCTCCCAGCAGTTGCACCACCTGGGAG